TCATAACGCAGGTGTACCAGTGTTGCATCATTCATAACGCAGGTGTACCAGTGTTGCATCATTCATAACGCAGGTGTACCAGTGTTGCATCATTCATAACGCAGGTGTACCAGTGTTGCATCAATCGTAACGCAGGTGAACCATTGTTGCGTCATTCATAACAGGTGTACCAGTGTTATATCATTCATAACGCAGGTGTACCAGTGTTGCATCATTCATAACGCAGGTGTACCAGTGTTGCATCATTCATAACGCAGGTGTACCAGTGTTGCATCATTCATAACGCAGGCGTTCCAGTGTTGCATCATTCATAACGCAGGTGTACCAGTGTTGCATCGTTCATAATGCAGGCGTTCCAGTGTTGCATCATTCATAACGCAGGTGTACCAGTGTTGCATCGTTCATAATGCAGGCGTTCCAGTGTTGCATCATTCATAACGCAGGTGTACCAGTGTTGCATCATTCATAACGCAGGCGTACCAGTGTTGCATCATTCATAACGCAGGTGTACCAGTGTTGCATCATTCATAACGCAGGCGTACCAGTGTTGCATCATTCATAACGCAGGTGTACCAGTGTTGCATCATTCATAACGCAGGTGTACCAGTGTTGCATCAATCGTAACGCAGGTGAACCATTGTTGCGTCATTCATAATAGGTGTACCAGTGTTATATCATTCATAACGCAGGTGTACCAGTGTTGCATCATTCATAACGCAGGTGTACCAGTGTTGCATCATTCATAACGCAGGTGTACCAGTGTTGCATCATTCATAACGCAGGTGTACCAGTGTTGCATCATACATAACGCAGGTGTACCAGTATTGCATCATTCATAACGCAGGTGTACCAGTGTTGCATCATTCATAACGCAGGTGTACCGGTGTTGCATCATTCATAACGCAGGTGTACCAGTGTTGCATCATTCATAACGCAGGTGTACCAGTGTTGCATCATAACGCAGGTGTACCAGTGTTGCATCATAACGCAGGTTGTACCAGTGTTGCATCATAACGCAGGTGTACCAGTGTTGCATCATAACGCAGGTGTACCAGTGTTGCATCATAACGCAGGTGTACCAGTGTTGCATCATAACGCAGGTGTACCAGTGTTGCATCATAACACAGGTGCACCAGTGTTGCATCATAACGCAGGTGTACCAGTGTTGCATCATAACGCAGGTGTACCAGTGTTGCATCATAACGCAGGTGTACCAGTGTTGCATCATAACGCAGGTGTACCAGTGTTGCATCATAACGCAGGTGTACCAGTGTTGCATCATAACGCAGGTGTACCAGTGTTGCATCATAACGCAGGTGTACCAGTGTTACATCATAACGCAGGTGTACCAGTGTTACATCATAACGCAGGTGTACCAGTGTTGCATCATAACGCAGGTGTACCAGTGCTGCATCATAACGCAGGTGTACCAGTGTTGCATCATAACGCAGGTGTACCAGTGTTGCAACATTCATAACGCAGGTGTACCAGTGTTGCATCATTCATAACGCAGGTGTACCAGTGTTGCATCATTCATAACGCAGGTGTACCAGTGTTGCATCATTCATAACACAGGTGTACCAGTGTTGCATCATTCATAACGCAGGTGTACCAGTGTTGCATCAATCATAACGCAGGTGTACCAGTGTTGCATCATAACGCAGGTGTACCAGTGTTGCATCATAACGCAGGTGTACCAGTGTTGCATCATAAAGCAGGTGTACCAGTGTTGCATCATAAAGCAGGTGTACCAGTGTTGTATCATAACGCAGGTGTACCAGTGTTGCATCATAACGCAGGTGTACCAGTGTTGCATCATAACGCAGGTGTACCAGTGTTGCATCATAACGCAGGTGTACCAGTGTTGCATCATAACGCAGGTGTACCAGTGTTGCATCATTCATAACGCAGGTGTACCAGTGTTGCATCATTCATAACGCAGGTGTACCAGTGTTGCATCATTCATAACGCAGGTGTACCAGTGTTGCATCATTCATAACACAGGTGTACCAGTGTTGCATCATTCATAACGCAGGTGTACCAGTGTTGCATCAATCATAACGCAGGTGTACCAGTGTTGCATCATAACGCAGGTGTACCAGTGTTGCATCATTCATAACGCAGGTGTACCATTGTTGCATCATTCATAACGCAGGTGTACCAGTGTTGCATCATTCATAACGCAGGTGTACCAGTGTTGCATCATTCATAAAGCAGGTGTACCAGTGTTGCATCAATCATAACGCAGGTGTACCAGTGTTGCATCATAACGCAGGTGTACCAGTGTTGCATCATAACGCAGGTGTACCAGTGTTGCATCATAACGCAGGTGTACCAGTGTTGCATCATAACGCAGGTGTACCAGTGTTGCATCATAATGCAGGTGTACCAGTGTTGCATCATAACGCAGGTGTACCAGTTTTGCATCATAACGCAGGTGTACCAGTGTTGCATCATAACGCAGGTGTACCAGTGTTGCATCATAACGCAGGTGTACCAGTGTTGCATCGTAACGCAGGTGTACCAGTGTTGCATCATAACGCAGGTGTACCAGTGTTGCATCATAACGCAGGTGTACCAGTGTTGCATCGTAACGCAGGTGTACCAGTGTTGCATCATAACGCAGGTGTACTAGTGTTGCATCATAACGCAGGTGTACCAGTGTTGCATCATAACGCAGGTTTACCAGTGTTGCATCATAATGCAGGTGTACCAGTGTTGCATCATAACGCAGGTGTACCAGTGTTGCATCATAACGCAGGTGTACCAGTGTTGCATCATAACGCAGGTGTACCAGTGTTGCATCATAACGCAGGTGTACCAGTGTTGCATCATAACGCAGCTGTACCAGTGTTGCATCATAACGCAGGTGTACCAGTGTTGCATCATAACGCAGGTGTACCAGTGTTGCATCATAACGCAGGTGTACCAGTGTTGCATCATAACGCAAGTGTACCAGTGTTGCATCATAACGCAGGTGTACCAGTGTTGCATCATAACGCAGGTGTACCAGTGTTGCATCATAACGCAGGTGTACCAGTGTTGCATCATAACGCAGGTGTACCAGTGTTGCATCATAACGCAGGTGTACCAGTGTTGCATCATAACGCAGGTGTACCAGTGTTGCATCATAACGCAGGTGTACCAGTGTTGCATCATAACGCAGGTGCACCAGTGTTGCATCATAACGCAGGTGCACCAGTGTTGCATCATAACGCAGGTGCACCAGTGTTGCATCATAACGCAGGTGTACCAGTGTTGCATCATAACGCAGGTTGTACCAGTGTTGCATCATAACGCAGGTGTACCAGTGTTGCATCATAACGCAGGTGTACCAGTGTTGCATCATAACGCAGGTGTACCAGTGTTGTATCATAACGCAGGTGTACCAGTGTTGCATCATAACGCAGCTGTACCAGTGTTGCATCATAACGCAGGTGTACCAGTGTTGCATCATAACGCAGGTGTACCAGTGTTGCACCATAACGCAGGTGTACCAGTGTTGCATCATAACGCAGGTGTACCAGTGTTGCATCATAACGCAGGTGTACCAGTGTTGCATCATAACGCAGGTGTACCAGTGTTGCATCATAACGCAGGTGTACCAGTGTTGCATCATAACGCAGGTGTACCAGTGTTGCATCATAACGCAGCTGTACCAGTGTTGCATCATAACGCAGGTGTACCAGTGTTGCATCATAACGCAGGTGTACCAGTGTTGCATCATAACGCAGGTGTACCAGTGTTGCATCATAACGCAGGTGTACCAGTGTTACATCATAATGCAGGTGTACCAGTGTTGCATCATAACGCAGGTGTACCAGTGTTGCATCATAACGCAGGTGTACCAGTGTTGCATCATAACGCAGGTGTACCAGTGTAAGGTTAAAGTTTGTTTGCAGCAGTAAATCATATATCATATAAATGTCGTAGAAGCTGTAGATAACCTTTGTTCATATGTGATTTTTGTATGGTGTGTGTGTGGGCGGTGGTGAGGTGTGTGTGTGGGCGGTGGTGAGGCGGGTGTGTGGGCGGTGGTGAGGCGGTGGTGAGGCGGGTGTGTGGGCGGTGGTGAGGCGGGTACACCAAGTTTGATGGCTCTGAAGATGGTATCTGGTTGAGCATGAAATATAGAGATCAAAGTCCGTTTTGTGTTTAATTTTCCGCCCTCGTGGCAGTCAACTTTTTGCCAGGATTTTGTTGAAAGTGAAGATCAGTTGTTTACTTCATGAGTAGATGTTGTTAACTTCTGAAAGTTTCCCCCTTACAGTTTATACATTACGTTTCCCCTCACAGCTTTATATAGACCTAAGCTTCCCCTCACAGCTAATATACAATTAAGTAGATCTTAGGGGAACCGCTGGTGTTTGTAAGTTAAGTGAAACACTGAAACTAATGTTAAGGTTATGATCGAACAGTGTGACGACATAGTGAGGCATTGTCAGCGGTAAGTTCGACCCCATCATGCTGCTGAATACACATATGCATATTATGCATATTAAACTTTAAACACGTGTGTGTGTGTATATATATATATATATATATATATATATATATATATATATATATATATATATATATATATATATATATATATATATATATATATATATATATATATATAAAGAGCGCCTATTCTTAGAAAAAGTACACGAATGTGGAAGGTGAACACTGAAAGATCAATGTTCTGTGTTCTATTGGGTTAATGACCTAGAGAATGTTATTTATTGTATGGATTCATGTATACTCTTGACTTGTGTGCTGGCTTATCGTATTTTCTTGGAACTATACGCTAAATAGAAAGTAGTCGTGTAATATGCTCATAAGAAATTAAACTTGTGCAATTAGTTATTTTCCAGGAAAGGTGAGGATGGTTGGTGAAGTGTATTTAGATGTAATAGATAAGCGTATCCTTGTAATGTTCGTTAGCATAGTGTAATGGCCCATTTTCTTTGGTTAATACCAGCTGATGGGATTCGTTTTCTTTCATGATGGTTCAGAGGGTAGCGCGTCCCGTTCCTACACCTCACTAACCCCTGTCAACCCGGGTCTAGGTAAGGGATGTTCCACTCACATTGTTACTGTTCGTCTTGGTGTTGTAACTCTGGCTGTAGGTCATGATATGTAGATGTTGTAACTCCATGTTAACAGCTGAATGGCTAACTGGGTGTTGTGTCAGTCACCATATGTGTTTTGTTAATAGGTCTACCACGCGGGTAAATATTTGTCGTGACTGTTGGCTATTGAGTGATGAAACATGTTTGTTGTAAGCACTTAAGTGTCTCAGTTCATGTTGTGGCTGTATTAACAGTTAGGTGACATAATGACTCAATACGGCTATAATATTACGAATATAAGTTTTTTCGTCTTCTGTTAGAGTATGTTTTTATGATTAAAATTTGCTTGGACTGCTTACGTACGACTGTTTGTTACAGCACGATGAGCCAGTGTAGTAAACTTTGTTTATTTCTTATTATTTTGATTTATTTTATTTTGAGTTGAGCTTGTTGAGCAACCTTGGCAGGTCCAGGTGTTAAAGCTGACATTAGAGGCCCTAGCTTGGCCCAGTGTTATAGCTGACATTACAAGACCCTCGCTTGGCCCAGTGTTATAGCTGACATTACAAGACCCTCGCTTGGCCCAGTGTTATAGCTGACATTACAAGACCCTCGCTTGGCCCGGTGTTATAGCTGACATTACAAGACCCTCGCTTGGCCCAGTGTTATAGCTGACATTACAAGACCCTCGCTTGGCCAAGTCTCATCTGCTGCACTTTTTTTTTTATGTTTTACATTTTCGCTTGTTGACATTGTTGCTTGCGAGATTTTGCTCATCTGCAGATTTTTTTTCTGTTCTCATAGTTTTAAGGAGAAACAGGATCTTGGGTTTATTATTGCTGATGCATATAAATGATTGGTTTGCCACAGACACCCGCATAACATTTCAGTTTAAGACAACGTTGTGGCTGCTGACTTTCATTACTGTCCTACACAACACGAGGTAGTATCTATGGTACTCTTCCTACTCAAACGTTCGTGCGCGTCCAGGCACCTCTTCAACGAAGTCTCAAAGTCAGTATGTGAAGGATACAACACGAGTGAGAGAGGTAAACTGAGCTGATAAGACTTGACAGAGTTTTTAACCTCAGTGAATATTGCATGAGAAAAAATTAATATAAGGAGTTATTGTGTCAGTAGTGATACAACACTTAGTTTTGAATGTCTACTGACAGTAAGTCTACAGAAAAAAATAAGAGAGACGGCAGGAAACAAGAGACTGCACAACAGGGCACTATTAAGATATTTTGTATTTTGAAGAAGTGCAATGGAAAATGGAACTAGAAGGAAAGGCTTTGCAAGAGATGGAGTGAAATAAAATGTGTAGAGAGACAAAAGAAGCATACGTAAGAAACATGAAGAAAACGAAATAGATAAAACAGAGAAAGTGCTCATGTTTCAACTAGGAACGAAGACAATCCAAGGGAAGTTGCAAAGCAATGTAAACATTAAAAAGACAGAAAATATGAAAAAAAAGTAGAAGCTGATATGTGATAATATAAAACGAATTTGAGAGTTCGAAAATTATTTGAATTAAATCTAAAACAAAACCAAAGTTACTCCACAGCTACATAAGAGAGATGATTGTCAAGGTTCAGGTGATGTTGATGAAGAAGGATAGAAGGCTGCTGAGGACGGTAGAGAATTATGCAGAAGTGTCAGGGAGGTCTTTATAGAACAATACTGAGCTTCCTGAAAACTGCAAAACAGACCAACAGCAGCTACTTAGGGAACGGGTAAGGGCTGAACCCATGGCAAGCCAGTGCTAATACTAGCAAACCAGTGCACTGTCCACTGAACTAGGCCGGTATGGTATGATGGCTAGCGCACCTACCTGCTAGTATTATGACTGGCTCTGCTCTGGGTTCCAACCCCACCCGTCCCCTCAGTTTACAATCGTGTTAGTTCGGTTTCCTGAGTCATCAGGACTTAGGAAGCATTCACATTAAGGAAGAAGTGATGCGACTATTAACTGAGCTTGATATAATAATAAACACTAGACCAAAAAGCAGTACCTCTGTGGGTACTGAGAAAACTGCTACATGACACCATAACAAGGCTTTTCAATTAGCTGCAGACGGGACAAATCAATAAGGTACTCATATATATAAAAGGGTGACAAACAGTAGTGCTAAATTATACATCAGTATCTTTGAAATGCATATTATCCAAGGTTCCAGGAAAGAGTATAACGAGAACGGTAAGCAAGCATCTGGAGAAAAGATTTATTAGAGAAAAAGCCAGCACGCATTTACGAATTGTAAATATTCCCATTCGAACTTGAAAGAGTTTTATGGCAGCACAAGAATGGGTGGCTAAGATCCCCGGGTTCTAAGAAAATATTTGATATGATCCCACTCCAGAGACTATCCCAAAAATAAGAAGAACATGCAGGAATATAAGGCAGAGTGTTCCCGTTCAAAGTAGTTCGCCAGTTTTGTTCCAGCACGGGCCTTTTGCATGAGGTGACCGGCAACACTAGGCAGAGTGTACCAGTGGATCGGGGAGTACCTGAAAGACATGCCATAGTGTAGGCGCAAGAAATAAGACATTTAGATGGGCGAGAGTAACGACTGGGGTTCCACAAGAATTAGCATCGCGACCAAAAGGAAGGACCTAAGAATTATACCGACATCAGGGAACAGGAATAGGCTCCAGAGAGACTTGGAGAGCTGCAGATGTGGTCGAACAAGAGGCTGCTGGAGCGCAATTCAACTACAGTATTATTATAATCAGAAAGAAGCGCTAAACCAACAAGGGTCATACAGCGCTGCAGTGTAATTCAAGCAAATGAAAATTCGTGCATATTTTAGGACGAAAAAATCGGAGATAGCGTTATAGCCTGGGAGGAAAAATGATGCAAATATTAATGAAGAACAGTGATATAGGTGTTAATATCACAGTGATATAGGTGTTAATATCACAGTGATGTAGGTGTTAATATCACAGTGATGTAGGTGTTAATATCACAGTGATGTAGGTGTTAATATCACAGTGATATAGGTGTTAATATCACAGTGATATAGGTGTTAATATCACAGTGATATAGATGTTAATATCACAGTGATATAGGTGTTAATATCACAGTGATATAGGTGTTAATATCACAGTGATATAGGTGTTAATATCACAGTGATATAGGGTTAATATCACAGTGTAGGTATATCAAGATAAGGTGTTAATATCACAGTGATATAGGCGTTAATTTCACAGTGATATAGGCGTTAATATCACAGTGATATAGGCGTTAATATCACAGTGATATAGGTGTTAATATCACAGTGATATAGGCGTTAATTTCACAGTGATATAGGCGTTAATATCACAGTGATATAGGTGTTAATATCACAGTGATATAGGCGTTAATATCACAGAGATATGGGTGTTAATATCACAGTGATATAGGCGTTAATATCACAGTGATATGGGTGTTAATATCACAGTGATATAGGCGTTAATATCACAGTGATATGGGTGTTAATATCAGTGATATTGTGTTAATACCACAGTGATATGGGTGTTATTATCACAGTAGTATGGGTGTTAATATCACAGTAGTGTGGGTGTTAATATCACAGTGGTATGGGTGTTAATATCACAGTAGTATGTTCGTTAATATCACAGTAGTATGGGTGTTAATATCACAGGAATATGGGTGTTAATATCACAGTGGTATGGGTGTTAATATCACAGTGGTATGGGTGTTAATATCACAGGAATATGGGCGTTAATATCACAGTTGTATGGGTGTTAATATCACAGTAGTGTGGGTGTTAATATCACACTGGTATGGGTGTTAATATCACAGTAGTATGTGCGTTAATATCACAGTAGTATGGGTGTTAATATCACAGTGGTATGGGTGTTAATATCACAGTGGTATGGGTGTTAATATCACAGGAATATGGGCGTTAATATCACAGTAGTATGGGTGTTAATATCACAGTAGTGTTGGTGTTAATATCACAGTAGTATGGTGTTAATATCACAGTAGTATGTGTGTTAATATCACAGTAGTATAGGCGTTAATATCACAGTTGTATGTGTGTTATTATCACAGTAGTATGGGTGTTATTATCACAGTAGTAAGGGTGTTATTATCACAGTGGTATCGGTGTTAATATCACAGTAGTATGGGTGCTAATATCACAGTGGTATGTGTGTTATTATCACAGTAGTATGGGTGTTATTATCACAGTGGTATGGGTGTTATTATCACAGTAGTATGGGTGTTATTATCACAGTAGTATGGGTGTTATTATCACAGTAGTATGGGTGTTATTATCACAGTAGTATGGGTGTTATTATCACAGTAGTATGGGTGTTATTATCACAGTAGTATGGGTGTTATTATCACAGTAGTATGGGTGTTATTATCACAGTAGTATGGGTGCTAATATCACAGTAGTATGTGTGTTATTATCACAGTAGTATGGGTGTTATTATCACAGTAGTATGGGTGTTAATATCACAGTAGTATGGGTGTTATATCACAGTAGTATGTGTGTTATATCACAGTAGTATGGGTGTTATTATACAGTGTATGGGTGTTATTATCACAGTAGTATGGGTGCTTATTATCACAGTAGTATGGGTTTTAAATTTATCACAGTAGTATGGGTGTTATTATCACAGTAGTATGGGTGTTATTATCACAGTAGTATGGGTGTTATTATCACAGTAGTATGGGTGTTAATATCACAGTAGTATGGGTGTTAATATCACAGTAGTATGGGTGCTAATATCACAGTAGTATGGGTGCTAATATCACAGTAGTATGGGTGCTAATATCACAGTGGTATGTGTGTTATTATCACAGTGTTAATATCACAGTGGTATGGGTGTTATTATCACAGTGGTATGGGCGTTATTATCGTCACTGGAGTTACACACAACTGTGTAACTTTAGCTTCATATGCTACACTGGTAAGTTCAACATAATGCTGTTTAAGAAAAAATCATTCAAGTTTGCTTTTAACAGCATATGTTAGGCCTGT